TTTTCCTGGAAAAGCTATTTCAGTACAAGATCGAATAACTTTCTTTTCAACGACCTTTTAATCACACTTTTCATTATTCTCACTTTCCGTAAGTCTTTCGAATCAATCTCGACACATTCGCTTAATTAGCCATGCATACCGATGCCTGTGTGAATATGGTTTTTACCAAAAGCGTGTGGACTTTGGTTCTGTGGCGAAGACCAGTTCCGAGTGAATAAAAACGCCGAACTACGCCTTCTAGCCCATTCGTCAATTGATGCTCTGAAAAAGCTGAAACAACCGAGACCGACGACCTGCATTAACGCCTGTGTGTTTCATCACGTAGGTCAGCGTGACGTGATGATTCCTACTTCCCCATGCCATTCATCTTCAACGCATAAATTTCACTCGTAAGGGAGCGGTCGAGGCTGAACAAGGACAAGGGAGAGTGCAAAGGGCAATTCTGCATAATCACAGCTTCCTGGCTGTGAAGTAAGGTTTTCTTTNTTTGTCCGAAAAGACCAGAATTGCCAAGAAACTTCAAGAATGACTCAGAGTACGGCCATATAATTTTGGGTGACATCGTAGCCAACTTTGGCCAACTGGTTTTGCCGCTACGTCTATGTGGTATGCCGAGTCAGACTTATTGCGCCCTACGAAGCATCAAGCATCACAAAGAGGAAGAAAATTGGGATGACGGGAGTCAGCAGCCTGCTTCTCGAGATACGCCGTGCTTCTACCGCGCACTCATTTTTGAGCATGATTTGTTATGCATTCCAGGCTTTAAAAGGAGTTGAAGGAAAGCATTTTCTCACTGAATGCGGCTTTTCTGAAAGATCTGATCTGTCCTCTCCCTTTCCCTCATGACACTGCTAGTTTCAGGGCAGAACCAGAAGAAGGGTAGAAAGTGGGAGTGCGAAGATGGGCTAGATCTTATCTTTAAGTAGGATTTTCTTTTCTTTAAAGTTCTTGAGGCACATGAAGCTACAAATGGTAGACATACCTACCAGCTGGGCTACAGTGTATTTCTTCATCTCGCACTTCTTGACGGGTGAGGAAATACCTCAGACAGATGGTCAAGTCGTCCGTTGCGGTTGGTNAAAGCTTGAATCTAGAAAACGAGCTAGAAAATCGGCTGTTGGTCAGAACGTTAGTCTCTGTCTCACTGAAAAGATGGGTTTTCTCGCAAGTTGCCCATTAACTTTGGAAATCGGATTCTTGTCAGGTGAGGTGGTTCTCAGTCGAATGATCTCAGAAAGCGATTCCATCTTTTCAAGCTTTGAAGAGAGCGAATTCGTAGGAATGCCAGCCATTCAAGGTATTTTAGGCTTATTATGTGAAAACCTTGAAGTAGAGTTACTCTGGATTTAATCGGTCAGCCCTACCGAACCGATGCGACTAACCATTAATGTCTTATCACCCGAGGGCACAAGGGCACAAAGTTTTTGGTGACGAGTTACGTGCTGCTTGACCTACAAAGGGACGACTTTTTCAAGTGAAATACTTCCTTGAAGTTTTTCCCAATCAGTGTATTGCCCTATTGTTGAGTGGGAGTGAAAGCTGCATGTCAAATGTATGATGCAATGGCGCTCGCGTTTTTTTTCCTTTTCCACCTGTCGGCTTTGTCGGATGAGTTCGTCGATTAATTGCATTGTCAACGGTGTGTTCCCGATCGAGACTGACGTGACCTTTGAGCGTGGAAACCCGTTCAAAGCCGCCATCAGGTGGCGGTGGGGACCAGCACGGAGACGGCGGCTTCCCTAATAGGGCATTGAGAAAAAGTCATTAAAGATGTTGCGCTCGAAAAAAAGATGTAACCGACCATAATGGGGGTTTCGGAAATAAATTGCCGACGTCACTGGCTTAGTTCCTTTCTTCCACTATTCCAAATGTTCCGACTTGATAGTGCATATTTATTATTGCAAATATTCATCATCTTCAAGGTTGTGAATACGTCCAGATGGTGGCTATGATTGCTTGAATCCATTGAAGTAGATACCTTCAACCATTTGTGTGACATGAGCATTGATGGAGCTGAGCAGATTTTGAATCTGAAATTACAAATTTCAGAAATTTCAAGAAGTTTTCCTGACGAAAATCAAACGTATGGTTAGAATGTTGTTCTTGTGTACCAACTGCGGTTCGAGTTCTGTCCAAACCTAAACCTTTTCCTCTTTTTCGCCCACTTTGTGAGTATGAACTGGTATTAATGCAGTAGGGACTTTTTGAAAACATTCTGGGTGAACGAGGGACAACCCTCATCATAATTGAATCTTCGGAGGAAATCCTCTTTAATTATAAAGATATCTCTCACAGATCAATTTGAAGGAATTTCCAACTCTAATGGGAATCATTCAGTATGAACTAGATCCTTCCGGCATGCGCTATGCACTCGAAACGCCGTAGTAAATGGGAGCCATTTAGCCCTTCTACGTGTTTAAAAGCGCAGATCACCCCCACCTGACCAGGAAGAATTTACTGTCGTGGGTGAGACGCTATTTCGTTCCTCCTCCAGCTACTGTACTTTGTCCTGTATTGTACTGGACTTCTGCTCCGGGTCAAGTCAGATAGTGGATCTGAAAAAGCCAGAAAGCCAATTTGCCCGATTCCAAATGCCAAATTCTAACAACGTTGGCGAGTCATCGCAATGTAGTATAAACGCTGAGACTAGGGCATAAAAGCGTTGAGAAGGCAAGAGCAAGGGATCTCGGAAGTTAAGGGATAAAAAGCACGTTACCCGGAAAGCATGAGAACGGGTTTGAGCCCTGTCTGAGGCCGAAGTTTTGGTCGATCCCTTTTTGTAGTGCCCACTTAGGTCGGCGTGGTGTTTGAATGCGTATTTATCCTACACAATGAAAAATACTAGAGAGTAAGGAAGGAAAAGGGTGGAAAGTGAAATAGAGGGATTCCACGTTGCCGGACAAGTCCGACGTCAAATACTAGGCCCTTGTGATGTACCGGGTGTCCTGAGTAAGATTTGACCTGCGATTCGATCCCAACCCTAGGTATAGCACCGGTACCATTCGCTACCCCACCTTTCCTACGCCCCATTAGAGCCAAACTTTCGGTGGTTGATCGAGCCATCATGTATTGCTGCTTCTTTTCAGTTACTTAAATTGTAGGCTTCACGTTATTGTGTTCTTCATTGCATTTCGTCATCGACCTTCATTCCCGACGCGCTTTTATGTGTAATGCCGTTTTTGGGAGTTTCTCACCCGAAAACCAATTGTAGAACCTGGGGACGTCATAAATATGAAACTCCATGTGTAATTTTTCTGATTGTTTCGTTTGTTTGAAATGGATCCTGGTTTCTGAAAACACCCCTGGAATGTGACAAATGTCACGTCAACGTTTCTATCATTAAAGTCACGTCGGCCATAAAGAGTAACATGGTTGGGGTCAGCACCTGGAAGGGCATATTATCATATTTTACGTGGCGCTGCCACCACAATCATGATCCCGTCAGAATTCAAAAGCTTCAATCCATTTGGGGTTGGTTATGTTATTTTAGCAAACCCCGAATGATAGACTATCAATCGTCTCGACTTTCGGACGACTTGGGAGACTGGAGATTCAATTGGTCTGAGCAGAATCCTAAGCCTAGGAATCCATCTGACAACTTCATCTCCGTCTTACCTTTACATGAATACTTCAACATAATAGAGACCCTCCTCATTTCTTGAAGAGAAACCTATGTAAATGTTCTGTAAATGCCCATGTATGCCCTTTATTTGATTGACGCCAATTGACGAGGGTTTCCATGCAGTTTTATTGAGCTGTATAGAGATGAGGTGAAGGGCGAGTAATGTCAAGGAATGAAGATGTTCCCATTAAAGGGTTTTACCCTGGACGTCCCTGTAGGTTCTGGGCACATCGATCTCACAGTAATCCTGTCCATATCCTGTGAATATGAGCCGAATGGGGGAGGTGGATCATGGTCTTTGCTTAGTCTTATTGAGTTAAGTTGGCTTCGTTTTGTTCTGTAGTACAAGATATTCTATCAGATGGAAGGAGAAGAGAGCCAAGTCTTGGGAGGTTGATCAATCCCCTGTGGAAGGATGCGCCCTGGCACTCGACTTCCATTCAGAATCGTAATGGCCTAAATGACTTCCGGTGCTCAGCCGATGTTCAAGTCAGTTCTTTTATCCACCTGGACATGTTTGGTACCGATTACCGATGCCGAAGAAATGGTAGAGTTGGTTGGCTTAGGCAATTGTCGAGCATGGATTCGAACCCGTGACTATGCATTGGGACTGTGCGCCACTTGCCACTACACCACCTTGGCCGTATACCATAAAATATTGTATTAGTCACTCTCCCGTCTTCCTGAGATGAACCTCCATTCGAGAAAGATTCACTTTCTCTCGGCTCCCTTGTTTTAGAAGTTTCGCTTGATTAACCATGTGGTCTATAAAAGGATTAAGCCTTTCTCGTCTCCGGGTTTCCGCCTGCCGGACACAAAACCGAACCGATTCCATGGGTGAATTCCTTGTCTATGGTGTGTGAAAAGAGGGGGAACAATTGGAGTACTCTTGTAGAGGTCACGTATAGATTCCGAAAATTCCTCATCGCAATTTTTTCACTCATTGAACTCATAAATCAGTGGGACGTGCGAATAGCTCGAATTCTTTGAATGAATTCGGGTGAGGAGTTGGGAAAAAAACTTTTTAGAGGTACACACACATGCATAGATATTGTGTCGTATCGTTCCCATTACTACTGGGGTGTTCAGAAGCAAACTTTGATGGATAAATTGAATTTAACACTTCCCAAGGGGATTTGATAATCACCTTGACGTGTGACTCTGAACTCCTACTTAGCAGTACCGGTTTCATGGAGAAACTAAATCGGACAAAGTTCGCTCTGGAACTTTTTCTCACTGCGGAAATTCCTCGAGTGAGTCCTTCAAAACCAACGCGTAAATTCGAATTTTATTTTCCGTACAGAATTGAAGTCTAGAGAGGGGAGGGGAGGGGGTTGATAGAACTCAGCGGCTATCACCTAGCGCACCGTAGGTATAGCTTGGCTATAGATACCCAAGTAAAAGTTCGTCCCAGGCAAAGAGCCTATCAATCGCCCGGGAAAGGACTCGTTTAATGCCCAAGTCATCTTTGGGACAGATGCATCAATTTATTCATCGGCCGGCTAGCAACCCATCGCATGGGGCTGAAATGGGTTCCAAAAAGGGCTACTGATTCCGAATGTATGGCGCACTTTGAAATCTGTCCTGAGCGAGAAATTTAAGATGGGTGAGTATTAAGTGGTGGCCGGTGATAATTGTCGAAGAATTTCCTATGTCCTATCTGTTCTGAAGAGCCAAATAGCAACAAAGGGAGAGAGCATGGCATTACGGCGACTTTTGGAAATACTCCCCCCTGACCAGAAGATCTATGAGTTGTCGAATGTTCCAAAAGAACAACTTATAGCAATCATATATTTACTGGTTTTTTCTCTTCTAAAAGTGTAATTCTATTCATGCGCATAATCTCAAATACAGCACATAGAATGGGAATGTATTTTCAAGAATTGAAAAAAAAANAAAAAAAAACTTCTAGTAGAACCAGTTCGCCTAACAGGGCTCGTCAATACTGTTTTTTCTTTTCGATTGAACTTCCCAAGTACCACGTTCGGTTTATTTATGATGAATCTGAACGTAAAAGGGGGGACGTTCTGGTAATGACAGTGAAAACGACTTAATAATAGTGGAATAAAGCAGCTTATCAGAAACCGGTCGACTTCCACTTTTCCGTTGGCGACATCCGTCTTCCTTCAGAGTCAAAAAGAGCTCAAAGACGTTTACAACTCAAGAGCCCTACCTTTACGACTTTCCTGCTTATGCATATATCTTCTCGTACTTCTCTACCTGCACACACCTTCTCTTTGGGACTGGCTACCATGGACTAGCGCGATGCAAGGATAGAGGGCATGAGTCTCGCTTGCCACCTTGTCCTAGTCTTCTCTCTCTTCGCAACTCGTCCCTCACTCCCCCTGTGCCCCTACCCCACACTGCTACTCACCCCACCCCAGACCTTCCATATCTCTGCTACCTCAAAAAAAGGAGAAAAGAAAGTAAAGTGCAAATGACGGCTTTTCTAGAAAATGCATAAGTAATTAGGAAAAGAACGCAAATGCAAAAGCAGGTAGAAGTCGATGGACGAGAGAATGACTGGCTGCTTTCATAGTTCGCCGGCCGGCCGGCGAGCGAGCCGGTGAGCCGGAGTGCCGGCGGACTGACGTAAAACGAATTAGTTCGTATGTAAGAAATCTACGTCTGTTGCTTTTTATTTCACAGTTCTGACCGGTTCTGATCGTGAAATAAAATGCAACAGACGTAGATTTCTTTCATACGAACTAATTTATTTTACGTCCGGCTCGCCGGCCGGGCGGCGGACTATGAAAGCAGCCACTTTTCTGGATGCGCCAGGCAACTCACTTCGCTCTGTGACCGTGCCCTTACTAGCGGTTAGAGCTGGCCAGCAGCACATGCTGTGAATAATTTTATTGTATATTAAACCTTCTACTTTTTCAAAATTTTCACATTGAGTTTTTTGAAGTTGTACTCCCAAGAACCTAATCAACATCACTTTATACTGGTACTGAAGAAAGGGGGCAAAGTCATCTAATATGCCAGTTCGAATGCCATCGTGCTGTCTCGAGCAATGTCTTGGCGTAATCCTGGTGCAGTGGCTCGATTCGCCTCACTGCATCTACTCATTTCATGGAGTTCCTTCCCAGGTGGAGGTGGGCCTACTCTTACCTAAGCGTGGCCTATCAGTAAAGTATTAGGCTTTGGCATGAAAATTTTGCTCCTTGATCACGGTGTAATCGGGGAGGCCACCCAAACTGAGATGAGATGTGAGATGAAAGCAATTAAAACAATCAGATACATGGCGAATCTGTGAAGTGACCATTACCCAAAGAGTTAAAGTTGCCTCGCCTTTTCTTAGAACTGCATTGGCCCTTGTTGGCTTGTTTGTCGTCATCGTTTACGGAAAAACTTCCTTTATCACGGCAACTTTCCTGGAAAGCTGTTCTGATAACGCAACAGCGTCTCTCTCGTAATCTGTCACTACTGATTGATTAGGGTTTTCCGTTCGTGCCATGCATGGACTCTGAGAATAGAAGAACTAAAACTTACTTTCCATGTAATCGCGCCGAAGGTAAGAAATGCTGTCTCGGGGAGTACCTGGAATTGCTTCAGTCGTTCTCTGAGGCCTTGGCCATCAGTGCCAGGATTAGAGGACCTTTCTATGGACAGATGAGATTCTTCTCAGGAGACTGTGGAAACAATTCTACTCTCGGTGAAGAAGCTTGGCGGACAGCGATTGCGTCAGCCAAAGGCGAAAGCTTGGAACCGGTTTCTCGGGCATTGTGTGGGTTCGTTACGTTGACTATGCGACCACAGGTGAAGCATGCATAAAAGAGTCAAAACTCGGCGAAGATCAAGGAACCAAATGCAGTTGAGGAACTCTTGTGTATTGTGAGTGATGGCCGTTAGGTAAACTGATCGGAAGGGTTCAGCAATAAAGAAGGCTACATGGTTCCTATACCAATTAAGGAATCGATCAATGAATTCCCATGAATCAGGGATCTTTCTTTGCGAATTCCATGATATTGGTAACTCATAGGAATTCTCAGTGAAAGGGCAAACTATTTGAAATCCGAATTCCAGTTTGTTTGCCCACTCTAGTAAGTCCTGCAAACTATGTGCAGGAACATCTGGGCCATGATTTGGGAGCTCCCTATCCGTTTTTGCCATAACTTGGAAGCATCAATATTGGTATTTTCTAAGCCGAGAGCATATTTCATGATATTTCTGATAGAAATAAAATTTTAAATTGAAAAGTTTGATCAAACTGACAGTTTTACTAGTTGCATGTCAGATGTAAGATTTCTGTATGGCTTAAGCCGGTGCGCCTGGGATTGAACCAAGGATTCGGAGTTACTGAACTGCGAAACTCCAAGGATTCAAGGTCTTTCAGGAGTTCTCAGAGCATTACCGTAATCCACTTTTGTTTTCTTGTTCCTGAAGTCCAAAGTTTTCTTGTCGAATTTCACTTTCTGTCAAGAAGATCATCAGTGACAGGGTAAATGCGATGACATCAACCTTTAGTTGTTCACAGTGAATCTTTACTTTGTTCTTTAGGAATTGATGATGTCTTGTAATCATCGAATTCAGAGACTAATACTATTCAATGATAAATTGAAAATGACTTGCTACCATAGCTAGTTGAATAAAAGCTGAATGGATACTAATCGCAAAAACCAGTGATCGGTGAACTTATATAATATTTGATTTTGATAACAGGAGTCAAGCGGGGTTTTTGAGTTTTCATGGCTTGATAAGTCTCAAGTTGGATGAATTTGCGTAACTGGCTGTCATTTAGAATTTGGAACCCCTGCTGACGTTCCTGTTACCAGTTAATGGACCACAAAGAATGAAAGAATGGATGGCTTAGCGAGTTATACGCGAGTGAGGACTTTATCAAGACAATTTTATAGAGGGCTGTCGAAATAGACATCTAAAATCGAGTCCCTCAGCTCGAATAGATCACTGGATACGAGCCAGGAGACATTTTCACGATGTTTTTTGTAATAACTGTCTGCTGTGGAACAACCTTCAGAGCTCTTTTAAACTCGAACCCGCAGCTGTAACCCGTGAGCATGTGAAAAAAATCTTATTGACCTAACGGAAGAGGAATCAGAAAGATTATTATAATTTTATTGATTGAATCCGAATGAAATTCCGAGTTTACAGTTTTTCCGCTGATCATTCCCCCTTTCTGGGACACGCCATTGCCTTTGATTTCCATTCAGAATCGTGTTGGCCTACTGAACGCGTATGTGGCCTATTCAAAGACTTGCGGTAGCCAGCCGATCTACAAGTCAGTGCTTTGATATACCAGATAGATCTTGGGCTAATTAAGCGATCCTGAAGAGTGTCTTGTATGCCTAGGCGGAAATCCATCCGAGACTCGAACCGGTGACCATGCGTGTGTGGTACTGCGCCACTCGCCGCTAGACCACTTTCTCCCCCAATATTTTTTCGTGTCATCAAAATTTATAACTAGAATTTCAAACAGTCTATAACGTTATAAAAGACGGACTCCTTATAATATGACCTAATAGTATGCGTAGCTGAACTTGCGTACCATACTTCACGCTCTAAGGTATGGTACGCCTACTTTTCAGTTAACCCCGCCAACAATGACTGCCACTGAATCGCATTGGAATTACAGTATGCCGTCGAACAATGGAACATAGCGTTTGATGAATGAGAAATCTCGTCTGGAAAGCATTAATCGAGGTTCGCGTCCCACTTGAGTCCGGAAATGAAACCATAAATCTTTGTGTTTTGTAACCTTGCACCAATTCCTCAAATATTCGAGAACTTTGGTAGATTGTCAATGAATCTTCAAGAGCGATCAAGAATTCAGCCTGAATTTGGTGTGACCGTTTCATCAGTGATCAGCATTAATTTTGTGTGTTCCTGTCAGGGTGTCTTCGAAATGCTGGTTCAGAATAAAGTTCATTGGGCGATTGGCTGTCATTTTGCAAGGAAAGTACACATCATCAAAAAAGCTGACCATCGTGGGTGGTAGAATGGATTGCAGAAGTGAAAGTACTTCATACTATGGACTGGGAGTTCACAGGGATGCGACATCGGGAGGTAGACCCGGCCGTGTTAGGACTGGCTGTAAGAGCTCAACAATCTTGGGCGTCATTTCAGTGCCTCTGCACATGATGGTGTGGCTTTACTTGCTGAAGGCTTCGGAAAGCTTATC